GCTCTGGATCTCTCGAGGCAATCGATGATACTCGTCTACATCTGGCGGAAAACGAACACCCTTGGTCAATTCGGCCAAACGAGTGTTGTACGTCGTCGTTATGTGTCTGTAGATGTAGTTCCACTCGTCCTGCGAGTATTTGGAGTGCTTCCAGCCGTGTTCGTAGTACAATTTCTGCGCAAATTAGAGATTGGCGAGTGGTTCTTGTGTGGGGCTTACATCAACCTCTTCATCCAGAACGCCTTCGTCGCAAGAATAATAGAGGTCTTGAGCATCGTCAAAATAATGCTCCGATTTTCCCAAGTAAAAACGGTCGAGATCTTCTTCAAACCGCTCGTTGAGTTCGTCGATCCGCGCCTTCAATGATTCTTCTTCCGGCAGTTCGAGAAACTTTTTCATGTCATCGAGCCTATTCCACAGATCAAATTTACACTCGAGTTTAGGGTGAAAAGGTGTTACGAGACGATGGGACGGTCCTTTTGGGTCAGAATCCAGAGACCGACGCGTTGTTGGTCGATTGGGTCCAGCGTAATTGGTTCTGAACTTGACCCGAGGATGGGAGATTCAGGGATACCCGTATTCCAGTCCTCTTCGGATGGAATCATTTCAACTTCCTCCGTCAGTGGGACTGCTGGGGTCATCTCTTCGTCGACGTCCATCATCTTGGTGGTTGGAAACAAGAAGGGTTTGATGTGCACGTGCCGCCATCACTCCTTGAACTTGAACCATTTGCACCAGTAATACCGATCCCCGGCGGTCCGCACTCCATGCATGCCTTTCAAGGTTGAAAGCCACACTCACGCCTACTCGCCTCAACTCCTCTTGCGTCATGACTACCGTTTGTGTAACCCTTACGACTCACGAGTCGCGACCGTGCTTCTCGGCACAGTCCCCAAGCCCCAAGGATGCGACGGTTAGGATCAGGGATACGTTCCAACTCTGCAACTCAGCCCTAATCTGCCAGCGTAGCTCGTTCCGGAACGAAATTACCTTGTGCTCTCGGTTCCTGGAAAATTCTGAACTGTGGTTTAGCTTTACATCCGACGGGTCGCCGTTCCATTCCTTGTGGCAATCGTCCGTATCATCGTGGGTAACTGATATGCCATGGCATTTAAACAGCCCACAAATCGGCCACTCTGCTGCACCATGAGAATCGCTGTCCTCATCCTTCTGCTCGTCCGCGTCGTACACTCGAGTCCCCTTCCTGGCTGTAGCAAACGACAGGAATGGAGAGACCTCTCACCTGCTCAGCAATTGGATTTCATCGGAGCTGTCCGGTGTCTGCAGTCCTCGCCAGCCAAAGGATTAATCCAAGCCGCTGGAGCACGATTTGACGACTTTCAAGCACTCCATATCAATCTGACCGATGAAATACATCATGTTGTGCGCCAAGTGCTTCTTATTTCTGCTGAGGCTAATGTAACAGCAGGGACAATTTCTGCCCTGGCATCGGCGCTTTTTGAACGTGTTTCAAGCGACTTTGAGGACCGAATGTGCTTTCGCGGGCTCACTTCCGTTGGTTGTTGTCTGGCCATTCGATTTCATTTCTAAATGATTACTCAGCTACTGGGACTGGAGCCGTGATGTCGATGTCTTCAACTCGTGAGCCTTTTCACTCTCCATCTTGGTGTCTTTCTGAATGCATGCCACAAGGATCGCCAAATCACCTGTCTTTGATGCTGTCTTTGGCTTCGGAGGTTGGTCTATTCGAGTGTACAGCTCAATCAGCTGATTCAAACGCCAGGAAATGGTTTGCATATACCGGGATATGCTGGCCCTTTCAATAATCTGACAAACCTGCCGGGCTGGGTACCTGGAACAGGAGGCGGCTGCATCACCACTGGTCCCTTTGCCTCATATAATCTATCCCTGGGACCCGGAACCAACCTCACAAGCCACTGTCTAACCCGGGATTTTCATGACGACTTTGTGTGGGTGTTATCTTCTGTTCAAGTTGCGAACACGACCAAACAGTCGACGTTTGAGAGTTTTCGGATCGAGCTCGAGGGCCAGCCTGTCACGCCTACGATGAAGCTGCACGATGGGGGGCACTTTGCGGTCGGTGCGGAGATGCTCAACACGTATTCGAGTCCCGGAGGTAAGTATACAATTATCTCTTCGAGAAATGAAGTTGACATCAAGATTCAAATATGACATTAGACCCTGTATTTTACCTCCACCACGGAAACTTGGATCGCATTTGGTGGGAGTGGCAGCAGATGGATTTACCGCGCCGTTTGTTGGATATTTCCGGGCGGTCCAGCGTTGACCCTCCTTTCGTGGACATTACTCTGGATTTTGGGCTCAAGATGTTGAATCTGGCACCGTTGGCTCAAATTCGCGATGTTATGGATCCGAGGGCTGGACCGCTGTGTTATGACCACGTTTAGTTGCATCATTGTTCTTTCTTCCGAGGATCCAATAAGATCTTTGCTTCTCTAAGTGACAATCTTGGTCCTTCAATCTGACTCATTTGACTCGACTTTAAGAGGAACGTCGACGTCATCAACCGGCTCCTATCTATGCCTACTCTCGCCCTCCCCCACCTTCCACACATCACCTCTCAGACAGCGGTGGTACAGCTCGAGTACAACACTTCACCACTTGCCAAGCCCGAAGATAACAGCTCTCCCTGGACGCGCTTCGTTCTCCTCTCCGACACCCACTCTAAACAGTGCGCCGTTCCAGATGGCGACGTCCTCATCCACACCGGGGACCTCACCAATCGTGGGACCTTGGACGAGCTTACGAGGGCCATGGAGTGGTTGTATGCTTTGCCCCATCCTTTGAAAATGTGTGTCCGAGTCATGAATCGCACACGAGTTCAAGGCTGACGATACGCAGAATAATCGCCGGGAATCACGACCTTTCGGTTCATCGCGAATGGTATGAACCTAATTCGAAGCAACTGCACGGCGGAAATCCCGTGGTAAGTGGTTGAGTTATGAGGAGTATTTCTCTAAAAATTGCAAAGCCTGCTGCGGCGGTTCGAGAACTGCTCAAGGGACCACGCGCAGTGGAGGCCAACATTGTCTATTTGGAAGACGAGGAATACAAATTCACCACAAGGGATGGCGGAAAAGAGTGGAGCGTTTATGGCTCTCCTTGGTCGCCTGAATTTTATTTTTGGGCCTTTGGTTACAAGAGGGAGGACGGCCAAGAGCTGGTTTCCAAATTTCCCAAAACCGACATCTTGTATATTTTTATGTTTTCAGCTCAAAGACAACCTCTTCTGACCCTCTTTCACAGGCTAACGCACGGCCCTCCACGCAATGTTCTCGACATCACAGTCAACAACGAACGCGCCGGATGCGACGACCTTGCCGCCCGGGTACAAGAACTCAAACCCCGCTTGCACGTTTTTGGACACATTCACGAAGCCCATGGTGCATATCTGCACCGGTGGAAACCAGACGCTGAACTTGGCGTGCAAAACGCAATCCAACTCGGAGAACTCGTAGATGAATACGGGCCCGTCACGAACCCGCCAGACGAGATTGCAGAAGACCAGAACGAGGAGAGCACTGTCTTTGTAAATGCTGCCAACTGGCCTGCAGGTCCGATTATGAGGCAGCAGGCGGCACAAGGTGGGGGCCCATCAAGAATGGGCGAACGTCGTTTTCAACCAGTTGTTGTGGATCTTCGGGAATAACAGAAAAGTACAGCGACAAGTTAGTATCTACGAGAACAAGCAGTTAGCGATCCTGATAAAGACACGCTCTCAAGTAAAAGAGCGTTCCCTGAGCTTCTCGACCTCCGCGCTGCCCTTGGAGCATACCCATATCATCTCCCGCCCATCGCCACACGGTCAGCGCCTTCCACGCATTTCCATTCGGCCTCTTTGCTTTATCCACTCTACCGTCGATATCCAGCAGTCCCGTTTCGAGTTGAGTGGGAGATGTTATCGTCATTATGCGTATCGGAGGCGATGGTTCGGGGGGACCAGGCATCAGTAGGTCAGCAGGCAAATCACGTTGTGCGCCTGGTTGTGCCAGGACGGTGAGGCTATGAGAGCGGGAATCAATGCGTTGGATCTATAAAAAAATCAGCACACGAGAATTAACAGCAAGAATGCACCCACAATGACATCTTTCTCGACCAAAACATTCACATTCGCAAAGTTCCGTTTGTACACCAACACGTCGCCTTCACGGAGAACAGAATTTTTGGCCAAATCTCCGAGTTTGAGTTCCGATGCCTCACTGAGAAATATGATTTGCGTGCGAAAAAAAAAATGGGATGAGGGCATACCCCGCCAAATGCTGCGAGGTCGCTGCCTGTTCTTCCAGTGAAGGATTGTCTCGCTCCCATACTTCGTCTTTCCACGGGGCCGCAAGACTGCCGTCCTGGATGCCTTTCGTGTACTTTTCGACCTTTTCAGCGTGTGTATCGGACAGCCAATCGGAAAACAGATGGTCTTGGAAGGTGTGGGCTGCAGCAAGAAAGTGGGCATCGGTGAAGAGGGATGGATCCAAGGTGGACGTGTCATGAGAATCGACCTGCATCGAGTCTCCTGCCGCCGGGTGGTCCAAGCCGAGCGTGGGCTTGAAAGAACGAAAAGCAGTGGGTGGAAGTAATGCTGCCAGTCGCGATTGCGAGTCTGGCGAGAGAAGATTCCAAGAATTTCCGTTGATTAGGTCCTGAGTACATTGAGATATTGCCTTGCCACCCGTCTTTAACGCACAGATATGTCCATTTTGGTCAGACGACTCTTGGGATTCTGCAACATGAAGCGGAGTTGTTCGGCCGGGTCTGCATCCGCTTTGGCTTTGCGTTTCGTTGGGACAGATTCAGGAATTGGCTCCCGTTGAATGGGTTTTGCTTTACGCGTGGAGCGACGTGGCTCTAAAGAGTCGGTCATGAAAGTCAAGAGCAAGCGTGTTTGTTCAACTTTGTTCGTTTGTGGGGTGGATCAGCGGCTGCCCTATCTCCGCCACAAAAACTGATATTGCAACCAGCCTCCCTTGAATTGAGATACTATTGTTGCTGCTTGTCCCAACGGAAGCATGGTGTAGTGGTTATCACTCTTGTCTTACAGCGCCCAGAGCTGGTCACAAGCGGTCTTCGGTTCGAACCCGAGTGTTTCCATTCTTTTTAACGCATCCTCCTTGACCCTTTACTTTTTTTCAACCTTACCAGACGTCCTGCATCGAGGAAAATGTCTTTTGATTGACGAGTTTGACGCGAGGTTCATATATTGATGCCATCAGCACCGCTTTTTGTTGTTGCGCGCTAACGTGTTCCTTCAACTCGACGCGATGGCTGCTGGGGTCTCCCTTGCCCTATTCCTCGTAACCGCAGCCTGCGTCGTCGTACCATGGTTCTACCTAAGCGTTCAGAAAGCTCCCGGCAGACCATTAACATCTACACGCTCCTTGCTCAACATCTTCCTCCTCCTACACACTCTCTTCTGGCTTTACTCCATTATGGTCTTGCCGCCACACAACGTCTACACGCGTCTCAAACTACCCCTCAGCACACCTACCGACGCGATTCGCAGCATCTTGCTTTCACAGTCGGATACCGGAGACCTCCCCAGGCCACTCGAGACACTTCTCAAACATCTCGGGTCTTTTGAAGTGAAGACTTACTACGTTCGGTGCGTCTTTGTTTTTCTCGGAGTAACAGAAACTTACCCATAGTTAGTTTCGGCCACTCGGTTGTGGCAAACTGCGATTACTGCAGGTCATTCGACGAATTCGGGATGTTTGCACTGCCAGGAGCCCTACTTTCGTACATCTGCCAAGCTATAGTCATCGGGGTACGTCTGCTACTTCATTCCGCACTCAACCTGACGGCCTGCAGCTTGTCACCATAAGCTCGTCAGACCGAGAGCGCTGGCGCACCATGGGCGTAGCCGCCGTGGCAGGAGCCTTCTGTGCTGAAGCCTACTACACCGTTACTGCACGCATAGAAATTCCCAAAGACGACAGGGATGTTTTCATGGTACGCGCTTCCTCCCTTTCCGTTCATCTCTGATTATATTTTGCAGTGGCACGACAACTTGCTCTTCTTCCGCCGTCTCCTCTTCCTCCTCCTCCCCATCATCGTGCACAACGCCCCAGCATCCAGAAACACAGCCGCCATCACCAACCCAACCCTCGCAGCCATCCGCACCGCAGAACAGACGACTGCGCGCCTCCAACTCCTACGTCTCACACGGGGCGCAGTGATGCGTACTCCCGACCTCCGTGCACGTGCTGCTGCGTGGTGGACCGCCGACGCACGTGAAGGCGCTTGGATCAGGGAGGACGAAGGCGTTCGTGACCTGGCACGGAAACTCCAGAGTGGCTTCGACGAGGGAGCAGGGTCTGGATCAGAGGAAGAGGCCGTGGGGCCTTTGCGTCAACAAGCCCGTAATACAGTCACCGCGCTCAACATGGGCTTTACGCCGAGCGAGTTCTGGAGGGTGCCACCATAGATGTGCTGTATCTTATACTTTGTACTATCGCGGAGAGAATTAAAATTCCAAGACAAAAACAAGAGGATAAGTAAAGCAAGTAAAGTATGCGGCTACGCGCAGAGTTTTACGAAAAGAAACTAGAAATCATAGCCCTCCACTTTGAACGTCTTGCCATACTGCAGGAAGCTGTCCATGATTTTGAGGATTGGGTCGGGCAGGCCCATACTGAGCAGTGTATACGAAATCTTGGCGTGTCCATGCACAGACCCCAGCTTGAAGAAACATTGGGCTATTTGCGTCGGGAACTGCAGCGTTCGTCAGTGTTATGTATCCCGGTCAAATAAAATGCACTTGCCGTCATTTCAGTATACTCGGCATACTGGTAGGCCGCAACACGGATGGCAGTCTGTATCGATCGCTGGATGTCACCCTCGTCCGAATACATCTCCATCAGCTTCGTCCAGGGCTTGACAGAGTACCGCGGCGTGTCAAGACACCGCTGGTACGCCTCCTTTGCCTCCTCCTTGTGATGAAGCCGCGTCCCCAAGTCACCTAATATCTCCCACTCCAGCCCCGTCTTGCGGTATGCCACGTGCTGCGTCTTGAAATGCGCCACCTCGGCCCGGAAAATCGTCCACACTCGCAGGTCCTAGTCGATCCTTAATCTTCGAGCCCAGAAAGAAACGAGCAACGCACCTCGTACAGCACCATGAACAGATTGTCCAACCATCGCTCGCACAACCGCTTATTGCTAAACGAGAAAGGCTCTTGCGTGGTGGGCGACGCGGGCTCCTTCCCCTTCTTCCCATCCCTGTCGATCACGTTGCTATCGTCCTCATCCTCTCCAGCCACAGCCGCCGCAGCCTGCTCGGGCTTTTCCAACGAGTCCACCGCAGTAGACGCCGCGTCCGTCTCCTTCTCAATGTCAGACTCGGTAGAAATGCGGATCGTCGGAATGCCAATCTGGCTCTCGTTCGCGTTGCCGTTCCCATTCACCTCTGGCCCAGTGACACTGCTGGGACTCTCAGAGGTAGACAGGACGCCGGGACTGACCATCCCTCTTGTTGACGCATTGTCCTCGTCACCCTCTGCGAGCGTCGTGCCCTCGGTCGAGCCCGTGCGTCCGTGCCCATTAATATCGCCATGCGCCTTCTGCATGCGGTACTCTTCCTCCATAACGAAAACGGCACTTCGGGTCTTGAGAAGTTCGTCCCAACCGATCTGAGCCACAAGGCGCGTCAGAAGCGCATATGCGCGGGCCCATGTCCCTCGTAGCCCCGGTGCAGGAAGGCGTTGCAATGCAGGGTCAGCTTCGTCATCCTCCGTCTTGACGCGTTCTGGTAGGATTTCGCCTATCGAGCGATGGAAGGGAAGGTGCACGCGGGAGGGCGTCAGCTGTCGGTGTGCGTCCCGGCCATTGAACGTGAACATCGGACATGAGTTGAGAGTGAGCAGCGCCGACTCGAACATCCCAAGCTCAATGTACACCTCGGTGAGCTTCTCCCAAGTGACAAACTCGCTCGGTGCGGCATTGACAGCCTGGCGCGCCAACTTGAGGGCCCAGTCCGAACGACCCTTTTCCCGCAAAAAGTCGCACTGCGTGTGCAGCAATGTGTAAGAAGCAGGCCCCGGTGCTCCGCGCAGCGCCGTCGACATGATCTGCAGCGCCTTGACTTCCTCATCTGGAGTATAACATTAGCTTCTGCAGCAAAAAACTAGCTCGGTACGCACTCATTCCAAGATATGCGCGTGCAAGGAGCGAATTGACCTCTGGCTCCCGCACGGCGATCTTCTCAAAGAGGTTCGCAACCTGCTGGTAGCGACCAGAGGCTCCAAAGTACTTGAGCAACCCAGCGGTCAAGTGGTTAGTCGTTACAGACGCCACTTGAATTTCTGGATCAGAGCCCACTTGCCAACCTTGACTGGAGTGAGCGGGCGATAAAAACAAGACGAGAAAATCCACACACCCTTGAGAAATAGTGCCTCGGCAGCAGTAAGGAACCGCAGCTCGCTTTCTAGGGTAGTGATGGGATCCAATTTGCGGTATGCGTCCAGCGAATGAGTCGGGTCGTCCGAATACAAGATCGAGCGCAGCAGAGCAGAGACATACGTCTCCTGCCACATATCCGGAGTCGCCTCATGTCTATACTTTTTGTCAAAAAAAAGGCGGATTTCTTGGCTGAAGAAACGCACCTCTCCCCTCGCAAATCCACAACATACGCATTCACACCTCCAGGAATCTTGACATCCACCCGAAAGTCCACGCGCGAAAATGCGTTGAAGCAGCAATAGCACCCATTGCGCACTTTCCACACAGGGGTCTTTGAGAACCACGCGTTCGAGTCCTCGATCGCGTAGGTGAGTGAGTTGATGTACGCGGCGAGGGAGGCAGAGGATGAGGCGTCGACACCGGATACGTAGTGGTACGAGCCGAGATCGCGCTGGCCGGCTTTACCAGTGCTCTTCACAACATGGCAGAGATCCGGGGGGCCGAGCTCCCTAAATGTCGCTGGGCGGGATCAGCGTCGGTAGACCCACAAACGCGACGGAGGAGCTCACATAGACTCTCAGTGCGAGCGATGAGCGATTCACCGAGGTCGACCTGGGCATCGTCATTATACGAATCCAGGGAAAATTCAAGTCGCCACACACCTCAAAAAGTTCGGGAATGTCTTTGAATGTAGCAGTCGCTTCAGCCATTAACTAGACCTTCAAACCCACACCGTCAATCGCCGTACAAGATTCAATAGGCAGCGCGTACTGTAAACTGGCAAGAACAATAAGCGACAGTGGGACGAGACCAAAATGCCACACACCAGAATATCGTTGCTTGACGTGTAGTAGGTATCTGTAAAGCGTCCGATGAGCCATTGCCGTCCAAAGCACCGAAACAACGGAAGGGGCGGGCGGGAGTCGTCGGACACGTTTTGGCGTTATTGACCCATTGCGTGTCCGCCAACGCCGATAGGACGCTGCGTGGCGTCGCCCGATAGCCCAGAGAGGACGGTGGAGATGGTGTGGGCGTTGCGCCGAAGCAAGAGAAGCAGGCGCAGAATCTGGTAGATGCACGCACCTTATTGAAAGCCCACCACCGAGTCCTAATCCAAACGTAGTTTCCCGCGACTCCTTTCTGGATGCTTGAGTATAAGAAACGCGAGTGGCCAGCAGAAAGAGGGTGCAAGCACGGGAAGAGGAAGAGTAGAGCAACAAACAGAGCTGTGGCGGGTGTTGATGCGAGATGGCGATGGCATGTATTCCGCTACAACATTCGAATTCTATGCGATACATTTACAACACTGGTAGAAGAAGTCCGATATACAATTAATTCATGTCCTTCTACTCTATAGCGTCAGTATCACGGCAGTCTAGAACAACCACGGCCCAACAGCCACTGCGCAAGGTCAGCAAAGTCACCTACTCGCAAAACGAAACAGACTCACTGCTTTTTGAGGTCGCAAATGAATCCGGGAGCTGCAAACAGCTCTGGTGGATCAAATTCAGCGCCTTGACAGCGTCTTGCCCTTCGATAACACATGAAATGTTAATCTCACTCGCCCCCTGCGAGATCATCTCGATGTTGACCTTGCCTTGGGCAAGCGTCGTGAACATCCGCCCTGCGATACCGATCATGTTGTGCATGTGCTTCCCGACGAGCGAGAGGATCGCCATGTCGTGGTGGACAGAG